CCGCGTGTGCCACTGTATTTTAGGCTTCTGCCTTGTTCCACGTAGGCCTGGCTTTCGATCGACCTACTGACGCCGCGCGGCCGTCCTCCGCTAGCGGCCGGTAAACAAAAAATATATCCCCACGAGCCCATGCGGAAACGATGCCCGTGAGAGTTGACGGGGGGAGAGAGGAAGAGATGCGCATAGTCAAACAGCGAGGGAGGCTTGGGCTGTTCCGTGGCCGCTTGGAGCATCTTGGGAGCCATCTTGAGCCAGCTTGGGCCTTCTAAGCCATCTTGGGGGTCATCTTGGGCTCTCTGAGGCCGCTCCTATCGGGGGCCTTTCGGGTGCCTCTTGGAGAGCCTTCTTGGGGCTTCTTGGGGCGCTTTCGGAGCCCTCTTGAGGGCCTCTTTAGGGGCCCCGGGGCGCCTCTTGGGGCCGCCTTGGAGGCGGTCGGTTGCAGGCGGGGGGGTCCTCGATTCCCCCTCCCCCCCCCTCGGGGGCAACGATCCCCCCAGGGGCCGAAAAAAGGAGCCTCCGCGACCTTTCCCCCGAAGAAGCCTGAGGGAGGGGAGGGGGGAGTTTCCTTCCCCGAAGGGAAGAGGGGGTGTGGAAGAGGAGAGAGACACTCCCTAGACCACCTGTCGTCCAAAGGGCTGGTGGGATTCGTTGGTCAGGATTTGTTCTCCACGGTTCCGTATTGCGGATGCAGCAGCAAACATGCCTTATCACATATTGCTTACGCAGGGTTCCTTCGTACGTTTTACCAATGACAACTTCCTTAGTATCGGTTCTCTAGTAGGAAAACCTTTGTGTTCAGGGCTTCCGACTAGGGATTCCTTTGGGAAGGGATTCCGAGCGATTCTGTATTAAAGTGCCTGATTAAAAAGATTTTTCCAGGGATTCGCCACGAGGGATTTTGATAATGATTCCTTCATAATCGGCGGTCGTAAGGAGCCTGGATTAAGGATGCCGCACGAATTCGAAGGATTCCTTGGCTTCAGGGATTCGTGTGGATGCGTCAAGATTCCTCGGGATTCCTACGGATTCCGATTGCATGGGGAGGGGTATGAAAACCATTGAACAACAAAAACAATCAACAAACAAACCCAACAACCGAAACGAACACGATTTCGGAAAAATGTCTGGGGAGAGGGAATGCGCGGGTTCGTCGTCTGATTTTTGTTGGAAAGCGTTTTCTTTCCCCAATCAGAGATTGCCTCTGTAGTGGTTCCCAACGGATCCACATGGTTAGGTGAGGTGCGTCGCCGATTTCGGTGGCCGCCTGGTGCGCGGGTGCCCGGGTGCCCAGGTGCTCTATCGCCCCATCGCCCTATAGCTCAATAGCCCTATAGCTTTATAGTCCTATAGCCCTATAACTATATAGCCCAATAGCCCTATAGCCCTATAACCCTATAGCCTTATAGCCCTATAGGCCTATATACTTCTACCCTATAACCCTGTAGCCCCATTGCTCTATAGCCCTATAGCCCTGGAGCCCACTAGCCTTATAGCCCATACAGCCCAGATAACCCTATAGCCCTATAGCCCTATAACCCTATAGCCCTACAACCCTACAGCCATATAGCCCTATAGCCCTATAGCCCTAGCCCTATAGCCGTAGCCCCCATGGCGTTCATAGTTCTCGCAGACTTTCATAAACCCAAGGAACAATTACAAAGGGATCTCACGTAATGTCAAACGCGACTCTCATGGGGTTTGTCTCTGGTATCATTGCTCTCCGTAGGTTCGGTGATTTTTGGTAGGTTTTCGAAGGCCTTCGAGGAGGTGGAGGAGAAGGAGGAGGAAAAGGAGGAGGAGGAGGACGGGGAAGAGGACGATGATGCGGACGAGGAGGAGGAGGAGGAGGAGGAGGAGGAGGAGGAGGATGAGGAGGAAGAGGAGGAGGAGGAGGATGAAGAGGATATGATGAACGAAACACGCCCAAACCGCCCAAGCTTGTATCGTGATTGGCGCCGGAGGAAGACGACGAGGAGGAGGAGGAGGAGGAGGACAGGGAGGAGGAGGATGAGGAGGACAGGGAGGAGGAGGAGGAGGAGGAAGAGGAGGAGGAGGAGGAGGAGGAGGAGGAGGAGGAAGGGGAGGGGAGGAGGAAGGGGATTATGATGATGAGGAGGTCAAGGAGGGAGGGAGGTAAGCAGCAGGATGAAGAGGAGGAGGAGCAGCAGGAGGAGGAGGAGGGAGGAGGATGAGGAGGAGGAGCAGGAGGAGGAGGCGGAGGAGGAGGAGTGGGGAGGGGGGAGGGAGGATGAGGAGGTTGATGAGGAGGAGGAGAATGCGGATGACGATGAGGAGGAGGAGGAGGAGAAGGATGAGGCGGAGGAGGACTAGGAGGAGACGGCGGAGGATAAGGGAAACGTAAGACTAGGGTTAGGCCGGATCTTGGGTCTGCCGCCGCGTTTGGACGGTCTCTCAATAATTTTGATGGTCCACGTGTCGTGAGATGTTTGCGTCCAGAGCTCGCATCAATTTTCAGGCAGAGGTTCTGTCTATGTTCAGATGGCCCCGTCAGGCAAATTTGGAATTCAAGTCTCCCCGAGAGGATGAGACATATACAGAAGAATAACATCACTCTGATGACGTTGATGTTTACGATAAAGATGATGCTGATGATGGTGGTGGTGGTGCTGCTGATGATTATGATGATGATGATGCTGCTGCTGATGATAATGCTCATTATGATGCCGACGATGATGACAATGCTGGTTATAATGATAATGGCGATGATGAGGACGACGATGACGACGATGACGATGATTGTGATGGTGATTATGGTAATGAGGAGCATGATAGTGATGATGGTGGTGGCGATGTTGGTGATGATGGTACTGATGACGATGCTGATGCTGTTGCTCATTATGATGCTGCTAATGATAAAAATCATGATGGTGATGATGATGGTGACTTCGATGATGAGGATGATGATGCTAGTTCTAATGATGATTGCCATGAGGATGATGATTGTGATCATTGTGATGAAGATGATGCTGATGCTGATGATGATGATGATGGTGATGTTCTTGATGGCGATGATGATGATGATGATGATGATGATGATGATGATGATGATGATGATGATGATGATGATGATGATGATGAGGATGTCTATGATGACCATTGGGATGACGATTGATGATGATGATGATGAGGATGCTGATGCTGCTGCTGCTGATGATGATGATGATGATGATGATGATGGTCGTGGTGGTGCTGGTGGTGATGATGATGACAAGGATGATGGTGATGATGATGGTGCTGGTGATGCTGGTGAGGATGATGATGATGATGATGCTGATCATGATTATGCATATGATGATGATGATGATGATGATGATGATGATGATGATGACAAGGATGATGCTGCTGCTGCTGATGATGATGATGATGATGATGAGTGTGATACTGATACTGATAATGATAATGATAATGATAATGATAATGATAATGATAATGCTAATGATGCTGATGATGATGGTGATGATGGTGATGATGCTAATGATCATGATGATGATGATGCTACCGATAATGATAATGCCACTAATGATGACGATGATGACGATGCTGACGATGCTGATGATGATATTGCTGATGGTGATGCTGATATTGATACTGCTTATGACGCGGAGGAGGATGGTGAGGATGAGGAAGGTGATGATGATGCTGATTATGATGATGATGATGATGATGATGATGATGATGATGATGATGATGATGGTGGTGGTGGTGGTGATGATGATGATGAAGAAGAATAACAATTGTGTGATGGTTATGATACGGATGGTGATGATGCTGATGATGATGACGATGATGCTCCCCATGATGATGCCGATGCTGATGCTGATGCTGCTGCTGATGCTGATGATGATGAAGCTGAAGATGACGATAATGATGAGGATGCTGATGATGATGCCGATGATTTTGATGATGACCATGATGATGATGATGCAGACAATGATGCTGCTGATGATGATGATGATGATTCTGATGATGATGATGAGGATGATGATGATGATGATTATGATGATGATGATGATGATGGTGATGATGATAATGATGATAATGATGATAATGATGATAATGATGATACTGATGATACTGATGATAATGAGGCTGGTGGTGATTATGTTGGTGTTGATGATGATGCTGCTGCTGATGCTGCTGATGATGATGATGAGGATGCTGATGCTGATAATGCTAATTATGATGATGCTGATTATGACGATGCTGATAATGATAGGACGATGGTGTTGAGGATGATGCTGCTGCTGCTGATGATGAGGATGATGGTGATGCTCATGATGATGATGTTGCTGATGCTGCTGATGATGATAATAACGAGATTACGAATATGATGATGCTGCTGCTGATGATGATGAGGATGATGTGACGATGCCGACGACAATGATGGCGATGACGATGACGATGATGATGATGCTGATGCTGATGATGATGATGATGATGCTGATGATGATATGATGATGATGATGATGATGATGATGATGATGATGATGATGATGATGATGATGATGGCGGTGGTGGTGGTGATGATGGTGATGATGATGATGATGATGATGATGATGCTGATGATGATGATGATGCTGATGATGCTGATGATGATGCTGATGATGATGATGATGGCGGTGGTGGTGGTGATGATGGTGATGGTGATGATGATGATGATGATGATGATGATGATGATGATGAGGACGATGCTGCTGCTGATGATGCTGCTGCTGCTGCTGATGATGATGATGATGGTGGTGGTGGTGGTGAAAATGAGGATGAGGAAGAGGAGGAGGAGGAGGAAGAGGAGGAGGTGGAGGATGATGCTGACGACGACGACGTCGACGACGACGACGACGAGGATGAGGATGAGGAGGATGAGGTGGAGGACGACTCGATGGAGGAGGATGATGAGGAGCAGGCGGATGAGGTGGAGGAGGAGGAGGCGGAGTAGGAGGATGAGGAGGAGATGGAAGATGAGAGTGGAGGAGATCCAGGCGCGCTGGTGTGCGAATTCGGGCCACAAGTGATTCTCCTCGCTTGGCGCTCTGTGCATGTCCCGAAATGAGCTCCCTCGGCTCCTCCTCCTCCTCTCCTCGCCATCCCCCCTCGTCATCCCCTCCGCCTCTATTCCTCTTCCTACTCTTCTTCCCCCATCTCCTCTTTCGCTCTCACTCCCCAAGGCCCTGTTGGGTAGTCTTGGGTCCCTCTCGGGGAGCCTCTTGGGCCTTCTTGGGAGGCTCTGGAGCCATTCCTGGGCCGTCTCGGCGTCTCCGAAGAAGTCCAGATGCCGTCGCAAGTCGAACAACTGCAAAAATCGGCAATGATGCCAGCGCGTGGACCCCAACAGTAGGTTCTTGCACTCAAGCTGTGCGAGCTATGTTGGGCTAACATACGTCACCATGGAGCACCAACCATATGACATCAAGCATCGGACCCAACCATAGGGCACCGTAGGGGCACCAACCATGCGGCGCCAATCATAGATCACCATAGAGAGCACCGTCCATAGGACACCAACCATAGGGCCCAACCATACAGAACCATAGGGGCACCAGTCATACGACACCAACCACAAGCCACCATGGAGCACCAGCCACATGACAGCACCCAGAGGGCCCAATCGTAGTGGGGCCGAAAACTAGGGCTCCAACCACAGGCCACTGACGCACATGGCACCAGCCATAAAAGACACAGCCAACTGCGACGGCCAGGACCAGTTCCTTTCAGCACAGAGAAAAGTCCTCAGCGCAAGCACTGCCTCGGGAAGCACACGAAGGACCCGGTTGGAGGTCCTCTGCGGGCCTCGCGTGCGCTCCTCGGCCCTTCTCTTGGCGGCCCTCTCGCGGCACCTTGGTCGCCGCTTGCACTGCACTCTGGCCGCCTGGACTGGTGCAGGTCTCCCCCGGCAAGCCTCCTCCTCCTCCTCCTCCTCCTCCTCCTCCTCCTCCATGGAGAGGCCCAGGGACGGTCGAAGAAGACTACACGGCTTAAGCATCGATTTTCGGAGGCCCTCGCCGACTGCATGGATCGGCGCTAGAGCAGCTCGCTCCGCGCGCCAGAGAGGGGGGCTCGGCGCCGATCCAAGGAGTCCGTGTCGACATCCGGAGGCTCATGCTCAGGTGGGCAAAACTCCCACGCGCTGTGACCCCAAGGGGCCGTCGGATTCGGGAAGGCCTGACGAGCATGCTTCCGGGAGAAACGCGGCGCTTCTGGATCTCCGCGGACACTGCCGATCGTCGATTCGGGCGTCCGCTGCCAGAGAGAGTACTGCCGATGGGCCCGCTGGTGGTGGACATGACGCTGCGCTCCATCGAGCGGGAGGCGGCCTTGACCCGTGCCTCCTCCTCCGCCTCCTCCTCCACCTCCGCCTCCGCCAGTTCCTCCTCCTCCTCCTCCTGCTCCTCCCTGGGGACCCTAAGGACCTCCAGGAGAGCCCCCTGCCCTCCCTCTTCCCTCCTCCACCCTCTCTCCCTCCCTCTCTCCCTCATGTTCCTTCCTCTCTTCCCCGCCCCCTCCTCCCCCTCCTCCTCCTCTTCCATTCCTCCTTCCGTGACCTCCCCCTCCCATCCTCCCGCTCCTTTGAGGCCGTCTTCTCCTACATCATGACGCCCGAGAGCCGCAAGCTGATCGAGGAGAGGGAGAACCGGCCTGAGACGATCCTCCTGAGGGGCGTGGGGGTGGTCATGATGATGATGAGGAGGAGGAGGAGGAGGAGAAGGAGGAGAAGGGACACGAAGACAAGCTTGGTGCTCCTCCAGTGCGCGCTTAAAGGGGAGGGGGATGGATGGATGGAGAGAGGGAATGGGAATGGGGGGGAGGACGGGGAGCAGCAGGGTGGCTCAGGCGATGAAAGCAAGTCTTCCAAGACGCATGGTAAAAACAACGATTGGCCCACGTGTGTCCGCACTCCGCCTGACCCCCCAGGAGTTCATGAAAGTGGCGACAGTTGCGCACTTGAAAGTGGTTACAGCTGCGCAGCTGGCAGCACCCGAGGAGGCGAGGTTTTGATTGGACCCGGGTAGATGAGACCGCGCTCCGCTAGACTCCCCAGGAGCTCACGAAAGGAGCGGCAGTTGCGCAGTTGGCAGCACCCAGGCAGGCGACGTCCCGCTTGGATCTGTGTGAGGCTGTGCTCCGTGTCGGCAGTTCTACCTACATTCAGTCTGGGATACGAAGGCCTTACGACCGGTGCCGCCGACCCTGAAGGGAGACGGCGGCGACGGCGGCGGCGGCGACGACGACGAAGACGACGCTGACGTGGGTCAGAGTCCTCATGGATGCTTCATGGATGCTTCTTGGAGTATCGTCGGAGCGCTCTCGGGGGCCTCTGGGGTTGCAGTTTTGGAGCCTCTTGGGTCCTGGGGGCCGTCTTGGGGGCCACTGTGGCTGTCTTGAGGCGATCTTGGAGGCCTATTTGCCGTCTTGGAGTGATGGGAAGCTGGAAAGGCGAGAACTCCCAAACCTGTCAACAACTGAAGGAAAATCAATGGAGTTTGCCTCGATGGGCCCTCTGTGGGTTTTGGAGGCCTCCTGGGGCGTCCTGGAGTCTACTTGGGCTGTCTGGAGGCTGGACCGAGTGCTCGGCGATTCGGAGCCCTCTTGGACCGTCTTGGGGGCCTCTTGGGACACTCTTGGCTCGTCTTGGGTCCTCTCGGGGCTCCAGGACCTCCCGGGGGATGGTATTCCGACCTGGGACCCCCCTCGGCCCCCCCGGGAGCGCTTCCGCCCCCCGGCAGGGCACTTCTCTTCTCGGGGGCGGCAAAGAGGGGGGTGATAGCTAGGCGGGGGTGGATATCATGGCGGGGGCCATGATATTTCCTCAGATTTCATGGCGCCTCTTCTTATTTCATTACGCTCCCGGCCCCCCCGCTGGGCCGCGCACATGCCGCCGGCCATGATTTGCACCCCCCCCTCTTGGACACCCCCCTCTTGGCCGCTCCCGATTCTCGACTTCACTGCGACGTTCTTCAATTCCCTTGTTCCCTCGACTTAACTACTTCGTTCTTCGACTTAACTGCGACTTTGGACTGACGGCGACGACGACGAAGAGGAGGATGAGGATGAGGATGAGGATGAGGATGAGGATGAGGAGGAGGAGGAGGATGAGGATGAGGATGAGGATGAGGATGAGGATGAACATGATGATGATGATGATTATGGTTATGGTTATGATGATGATAATGATGATGATGATGGTGGTGGTGGTGGTGGTGATGATGGTGGTGATGATGATGATGATGATGATGATGAGGAGGAGGAGGAGGAGGAGGACGATAACGACTCAAACGGAAAAACGTCTTACACACGCCGAAGGGTCTATGGATGTGGGTAAGACGGTAAGACCGCGCTCCGCTGGACCCTCCTGGGAGCTGATGGAAGTGGCGACAGTTGCGCCTTTGGCAGCACCCAGCCGAGGTCCCGTTTGGATCTTCGTAAGACCGCGCTCCGCTGGATCCCCCCAAAGGCTAAAGGCGTTACGCAGTTCGCAGGACCCGGGGAGGGGTGGCGAGGTCCCCGTCGGACCTGCTGGACCCCCCAGGAGCTCAGGAAAGTGGCGACGGCTGCGCTACTGGCAGCACCCAGCAGATGTCCTGGGAAAGACCGCCCTCCGCTGCACCCCCCAGACGCTCACAAAGGGGCCATAGGTGCGCAGTTGGCAGCACCTAGGGAGGCGAGGTCGGGCTTGGATTTTGGGCAAGACCGCAATCCACTTGAGCCTCTCAGAAGCCCGCGACAGTGGTGACAGTTCCGCAGTTGACTGTACCCAAGGAGGCGAGTTCCCGTTTGCATCTGGGTAGGACCGCACTTCGCCGGATCTTTTCCAGAGCCCACGAAAACGGTGATGGTCGTGCGTTGGCAGAACACAATATCGAAGCGGCTCTTCCGCATCCTTCCCCCCTTCCCACCTCCTTTCCTCCTCCTCCACCTCCTCCGCCTCCTGGTTTACCTTGCCTGCGGGAGCCCCTGAGACAGCGTATTTACGATCCGTCCACAAAACAACGCGACCTTCGATGCCCGCTCTCCTCCCCCCTCCAGGTGGGCGTGCAGTTCCTGCCGTGGGCATATTATTATCTTCAGAGTGCAGAGCAGGCGGACAGTTTCGTGGGCCCCTTCGCCTGAGGGCGCGCCTCGGCGCGCGCCGGCCGCCAGACCACTCGAGAACGGCACGCTCGAGCCGACAGCCGGCGGCGAGGAGGGGGAGGAGGAGGAGGAGGAGGAGGAGGAGGAGGAGGAGGAGGACGAGGAGGAGGAGGGGGAGGAAAAGGAGGAGGAGGGAGGAGAGAGGAGGAGGAGGAGGAGGAGGGAGGAGGAGGAGGAGGAGGAGGAGGAGGGGAGGAGGAGGAGAGGAGAGGAGAGGAGGAGGAGGAGGAGGAGGAGGAGGAGGAGGAGGAGGAGGGTCGAGGGCAGGTTTTTGGAAGTCTTCGGCCCGTGCTGGGCGGCCTGGGACCGCCCTCGTGGCCACGGGCGGGCGCGGCTCGGATCGCTGGCCAAGAGGGACCCCAGGAGGGGCCTTTGGTAGCAGATCTCGGCCACGCGCAGAGGGAGGCAAGGGGGAGGAGGGAAGGCTTCCTAATTAGAAGCGCCCCTGCTTTTTAGAGGGCGTGGGCCTTGTCTTTAGATGTGGGGCCGCCGCACCACCGAAGGGGTCCTGGAGACTCGGTTTTGAATTAAGTTTGGCGGGGCGAGGGGGGCCGCCTTCTGACAAGACAGGGGGGCTTTTTGAGGCCCACCCGTGCCCTCAGCAGGTAGCCTGTGTGGACCCCCCCCGATCTCCTTCTCCTCCTCCTCCTCCTCCTCCTCCTCCCCTCCTCCTCCTCCTCCTCCTTCTCCTCCTCCTCCTCCCCTCCTCGTCCTCCTCCTCCTCCTCCCTCCTCGCCTCTCCGTCCTCCTCCTCCTCCTCCTCCTCCTCCTCCTCCTCCCTTTTCCTCCTCCTCCTTTCCTCCCTCCTCCTCCTCCTCCTCCTCCTCCTCTCCTCTCCTCCTCCTCCCCTCCTCCTCCTCCTCCTCCTCCTCCCTCCCCTCCTCCTCCTCCTCCACCACCACCACCACCTCCTCCCCCTCCCCTCCCTCATCCTCCTCACCCTCCTCTTCCTCCTCCTTTTTTCCTCCTTCCTCCTCCTCCTCCTCCTCCTCCTCCTCCTCCTCCTCCTCCCTCCTCCTCCTCCTCCTCCTCCTCCTCCCCCTCCCCCTCCACCTCCCCCTCGCCCTCCCCTGCTGAGGAGAGCTCTCCGCCCCAGCCTCCTCTGAATGCCGCCCCGCCCTCGCCCTGGCGCCGCCGAGGCAGGACCGGGCGCAGGCAGCCTGCCCCGCAGTGCTATCAAGATGCCGTGCAGCGGCGCGGTGCCGTCGCACCCCGCCATGCCAGCCAGTATTTTTTAATTGTGTTAAGTCGGGCCTGTCCCTCCGCAGGAGGAGGCATCTTCAAAAATAGAAAAAATAGTCAGGGGACGAATTTTCAGCTATTCTTGGCCATTTTTGAATATTTCTTGACAGATTTTTATGCTTCCTCCAACATCCGCCTGTAGGGGGACATGCCCGACCTGATAATTGTGCCGATGAGCTCTCGAGGGACTTCACGGGGCCTCGCCCCGGCACGGCTTGTCGCTGTGGCGGCGCGGGCACCGCTCGTGGAGTTTGCCATCCGCAGAGGGCTTCTGCACACCACTAGCGTGCCTGGCCAGGGCCATCCTGGGCCCCAGCATGGCTCACAGGCCCTTCTGGCCTTAAGTCGGGCATGTCCCTCCAGAGGAGGAATATCCAAGAATGGTCATCGTCTTTCGAGTATTTTTCGATCCGTTCTGCATATTTTATGATTCTGTTGTAAGGCAAACTCTCTCCCAACACCCGTCGGTAGGAGGACATGCCTGACCTGCTCCTCCCCCCCTCGCCTCGGCCAGGAGGGCGCCTGCACCGTGCCCGTGCCCAGGACGGCCCTGGCCAGCCACGGTGGCACGCGTGCAGAGCCCTTCTGCGCCCGCCACGCCCGCGCTCCGAGCTGGGCTCGTCCTCCAGGGCCCGCGCACGCCCGCGGTGGACCTCGTGGACGGGCCTGCTCCGGGCGAGGTGGCGCCCTGGCAGAAGAGCCCTCGATGCTGGCGCGTGGCAGCGCTTGCGTGGGCGCGCGCACTCGGGAGGCGGAGGAGGAGGAGGAGGAGGAGGAGGAGGAGGAGGAGGAG